AAAAAAGAACGAAAGGAAAAAAAAAGGAAGACGGAGGTCGTGGTTTTTAGATCCGTGAGCTTATAACCTTTTTTGAAGATTTTCTTTCTGGTATTATCTGAATATCTTGCTTTCTCTCTTCTTCTGAACTTGTGGTATGGGATTATTTTGAAAGGATCTTTTTGAATGGAATGGAAAATGACGATGATGATTAGGGTTTGGCTTACTTGATAGCTTGCTATGATTTTGTGGGGGTTCTTGCAATTTCTGAGATTTGTATATAGCTTTGTATCTTCTGAATGGATTCTGAGGAGGGAAAATGATGAACAAAATTTTGGCTTTTTTGCTGTTTGTTTGAGATATTGGTTCACTATGAATCTTTGTTTTTTTGAATTGTTGGTTACTCTTGCTGGTTTTCTGAGTGTTTGTTTTGGACTAGAGATTTTTGGAAATTTTTTGACTCTCTCTAGTTGGTGATTCTCGCTGGCTTTTTGTATATTATTATGTCTCTTATTTTTTGCCCTTTGGTCCTGTGTTATAGTGACTGAGAAAATCAAAAAAATAAAGGGAAGGTTTGATGAAATTTGAATAAAAATGGTTTTCTAACTTTGGGTTTTAGAGTGCAGGTTATGCTTTCCCATTTTAGTGCAAGTTTTGGCGCATGCTGTAGCAGGGCTGTCTTTGCAGCCAGTGATAGCAATTGGCTTGGCAATTTGGACTGTTTGTGGCCTAGGTGATACCTTTCCAAAACTTGCCTCTTTCCCCTCTTCATATTTTCATGAGATAAAGCAATCTTTGCTTATTATATATTTTTCTGAAGGGTTTGCTAATTTAGGAAAATGATGAGGCTGCTTTAGGCTGTTTGAGCATGCTTACTGTAATATTTTGTTGCTTTATTTCTTTTGGCTTGCTGGCATTTGTTGCAGGTTTTTTATTGGCCCTGTTTTTGTACTTGGCAATTTCGTTTTGTTGCTGTTTGCAGCCTTGGTTATGCTGTGGCTCTTGCATTTTGTTGTTGTTGCTTGCTGTTTTGGTTTTCTGCTGCAGTTTTGGGCAGTTTGACTGGATGATTGTTGGTTGTTGTATTGGGTAGCTTGCTTTGCAGGCTTGGTTCTGCTGTGGCTTTTGCATTTTGTTGCATTTGGGCAACTTGCTGCCTGTTGCTGCTTGTTGGCAGTTTGTTGTTTGCTGCATTGTTGGCAATTTTTCTTTTCCTTTTTCTTTTGTGAACCAAGAAAGGCAATCTTTCTTGTGATTTGCAATTGGGGAGAGGGATTATGATAAAACAAAATCAGACCAAAATTATGATTCCTATCTGCAAACCCTAATGATGAATTAGGAGAAAATTTGCTTGAAAACTCCTTGTTTAAACTTCATTATTTATGTGTTAATCATATCTTCTTTTTCTTTGATTTGTTTCATGAACGGAAAGCGAGACTTGGATGCCAATGAAGATTGGATTGATTACTTGAAGATGAAGATGAAGACCTGAAGAAGAAAACATAAATTCTCTTTGTAAACTTGAGATTCTTTGTAAACAAGGCAAACAAAGTGTAAATTCATTTGTAATGTAATAATATCAAACATTTAAATAAATTTTGGTGTAGTAGAATTTATTGTACAAAACTTGCAATCCATAATTGAATACTTTGGATAAAAAATATTGGTTTGGTAACTTGCATTTCAAGCAATCACAAAATGATCAGATAAATCATGTATTTTGCATTCTTAAACAAAATAAATGTTTAAGAGCTCAAATCCAATTGATTAATTGAATCCACAATCATGGTTGTTTAAATGACAATCTTAATCTTCACATCTTGTCCAAATCAAGTTTGCGTTTAAAATGAACTCGTGTGCCATGCTTGATAATAAAAAATGGAATTTCATTGCCAAACAAACATGCTTCGGGAATATCTGTCAATCTTTAAAAAAATTGTGATTAAGAACATTCGAAGTCAACAAATGCCTTACGACGATTTGATAATTTTAAAGTCTTCCAAACACAATTTTCCTTCGATTCTTTGAAGATAAACCTGTGAGCGACATCACATATGACCATGAACAGAAATAATCGTCTCAAGGTCTTGTAATTTGAAGAAATCACAATTCTTAGAAGTCAGACGACTGTTATTTGAAATTAGGTCAAAATTCATGATGCGACTTCCAACGCATTTGAATTTTTGGTGATCTTCTTCGCGTAATCAGTTCTTGATTTGTGAAGAGAAATTTGAGATGGCATCAAGGAGAATCATACGCAAACCACTCAAAAAATATTGAATAATGAAGAAGTTACGATCGTTTGAATTTGTTCTCGCAAAAAGGGCGATTTTCAAGTCGATGTAGTCGTTTTCAGTTATCTGGACCATTGATTGAGGAAACTTACACTGCGAGGTTTGAAAACTGACTTAAACAACCTTGAGGAGACATGAAGACCTATGAAGACCAATTGAAACCTTGAAGACTCAATTTTCTTTGAGAAATGCAAAACCCTTATTGTTGATTTACTACTTAGGGAGAGAATTTGTCTGATCAACTTTTGAGCCGAATTGAGTATTCGTGAAACCCTAGGATAGTATCTTGAATGAAAAATGGAAGGGAAAATTTTGGGGTACAACAGCTGCCCCTGTTCAATCTTCTTAAACTTGAAAAGTAAGATCGACATGTTCCTCGTTCGTAGCTTAAAAGTGGAAGATGATTGAACACTAGAGTGCCCAGAAATTTGCACTTGATGATGCGCTTGGTTGATTGTGTAGGGAATGGGCTTAAAGATGCCATTTGGAGAAATGATGGAGAGTTGTTGGAGATGGGCTTATAGATGCCATTCAAAGGTGATTGTTGACCGGAGTGGACGAAGTCTGAACTTGACTTCAAACGGAAAAGAAATCAGAATAAACCTTTGGTCGATTTAAACTGGGGCTAGCAGAAGTCTTGAATGTTGTTTGATTTGAAAGAATCAAAATAAATCTTAGAGCGATTTAAACTGAACCAATAGAGGTCTTGGATTAACTTTGACTGGGAAGCATCAGAATAAATCTTGGTGCAATTTATCTGAACCAGAGAAGATTGTCGGTGGGGAAGAATCAGAACAAATCGTTGGGAGATTTATCTAAACTAGTAAGAACCCGAAGAAAAATCAGAATAAACCGTTGAGAGATTTTACTGATATACCAACATGTATCTAAAATCTTATAACTAATGATATAAATTAATGTGAAAAGTTTGGTTTTTAAAAAATAATTAAAAGAAAACTTAAATTCTTAAATATTCTTGAGTTTTAGTTGTGTATTCAAAATCTATTTAAAACTTTAATTTATTTTAAAATAAATTATTATAAAAAACTTGATATGACATTCTATAATTGTATGATGAGTAGATATCCAACCAAAATTTGGAGTACCGGAAACAAAACAAAAATTAATATGAAAAAAATATCATATTTATTATAGTTTTGGCACTAAATTATGATTTTTTTAACTAATTAATTAAAAAAAAGTTAATTTAACTAAATAATTTAATAAGATTTAAATAGTTTTTTTTTGCACTGCAATTTAATGAGTTTTTAATTTTTATTTTCGTATCTCATCTTTTTTAAAAATGACTTCTAAATATTAAAATCTTTTTAGTTTTAGTCTCAAATTAAAACCGGGCAGAAAAATTTATAAGTTTTTTTTGTGGATTTTTCTTTGAATTTTTCTGCTAATTTTAATTTTATAGATTAAAACTAAAATAATTTTGATATCCAAAGACCATTTAGAAAAAAAATAAAATATAAAGATGAAAATAAAAAACACCTAAACCTTAACAAACTAAAAAAACTATTTAAATTATTTAATAAATGTAATAAATTTGCTAATTAAGTATAATTTTGTAGTCAAAGTTTCCCTCAATAATTTAACAATTAAAAATTTAATTTCCATTAAATAATTAAAAAAAATAAACAAAAAAATAGAATATACATCATTAATATAAAAATAATAAAATAATTTTACACTCACAGCCAACTACCAACTGATATTCTCTATCAAATCATATTTATATTTTAAAATTATTTTAATGACATTAAAAATTATTAAATTTTTGTTGAACAAATGTAAAACTATTTTATAGTATCATTCCATTAAGAAATAATTAAATTAATATAAGATATTCAATTAAATACTATATATATATTTAAATGTGTGTAATTATTATATCAATACACCATCAATACATATAGTAATTATTAAAATATATTATTTTAAAGAAAGTTAAAATCGAAATCAAAATTTTAAAGAAATCAATAGTTATAAATTAATTGAGATTGTAAAATATTTTTAACCTATATTAATTTAAAATTTTTAATTAATATACACATGTAAAATAATTTTATTTTATAATTCAATAAAAAATTAATAATATATTATATCATTAAAATAATTTTAAAATTTAAGTGTGATTTAGCAAAATAATTGATTGATGATGTCATGGTGCATATCCTATTTTCTGTAATTTAAAAAATGTAACAACTTGTAAAAGTTGGATGCATCCAAAAAAAAAATCTATACATGGCAAATAATATCTTTTTATTTTCCCACTAATTCGTGACGGAAATCCATACACATTTTGTCTGTAATTTAGTAGAAATGGTGCAAAAAGACAATATACGATGCCGTTAACGTCAACATAGGTCTGATTTGACTCTTCGTCTTCGTCTTCGTCTTGCTTCTCCATAATATTCTCAAATACCTCGTTCCCACTTCAACCCTTGTCAATTTCCAGTTTTCAACCTAGTTATTTGTCTTCTTCTCTTCTACGGGTACAATTTTCTTTTTCTTTTCAAATTTGTGTAAGATTATATGCATAAACCTTAGAATTTAATGATTATTTTATGTTTATTATATAAATTTCGTCAATTTGAAATAGTCAATTTTGTTGCTTCAGTTGAAATTGTCATATGTGCACAATTCACCTAACCGTGGCCTTAATTTTGAATGCTCCTTGGATATGACTTTGTTTTGTTTTTATGAAGACTCGGTTGAATGAAGCAAGTGGAACAGGAAAAAACCCATATCTTGGAAGCAAGACCGGTAGAGGAAATTGAGATACCGATTGTCTCTGATTCAGACAGACTTGATCTTCCGGCAACCATGTCGTCGTCTTGCAACAATTCTGTCTGTCGTTTTTCCCGGAAGGAAAACAGTGCTGGTGTATCAGATGAATCGGCTAAGAAACTTTCTTTACTGATACTTTTCTATGCTGTTGTTATGGTTGTTGAACTTATTGGGGGAATGAAAGCTCACAGCTTATCTGTTATAAGTGATGCTGTACATTTGCTTTCTGATATTGCTGGTTTTGCTATCTCTCTCTTTGCAGTGTGGGCTTCGGGTTGGGAGGCAACGCCTCGTCAATCTTTTGGGTACAATCGTCTTGAGGTTTTGGGGGCTCTTTTATCTGTTCAGTTGATTTGGTTTATATCTGGTTTTTTAATATATGAAGCAGTTGGTAGAATTGTTTATAGAAATGATAGTGTCAATGGAAAGCTCATGTTTGCAATTGCAACATTTGGTTTTGTTCTTAACTGTATCATGGTTTTATGGCTTGGTCATGATCATAGTCATCATCATGGATTTGGACATTCACATGGTCATGATCATGATCATCATAATCACGATCATCATAATCATGCTCATGATCATGATCATTCTCATGACCATCATCAGTCCAGTAGAGACGTGGATCATGTTCATGGGATGGAGGAACTGTCTAAAATATTTGATGAAATATCTGATGAAGAGGAACTGTCTAAAATATCTGATGAGGAGAACCTTACCATGATTTCAAATGGTAAGACGAAAAAGAATGTTTTGAACATTAATATTCAAGGGGCTTATTTGCATGTGATGACTGATATGATTCAATCTATTGGAGTGATGATTGCTGGAGGAGTAATATGGGCTAAACCAGAATGGTTTATAGTTGATCTTTTATGTACTCTCGTATTCTCGGTTTTATCCTTAAGTACTACTCTGACAATGCTTAAGAGCATTGTCGGTATTCTGATGGAGAGGACACCGAGTGAGATTAATATCATTGAGCTGGAAAATGCTCTTACAAGTATCAAGGGAGTGCAGGAGGTTCATGATTTACACGTTTGGGCTATAACAGTTGGAAAACTTTTTCTATCTTGCCATTTAGTAGCTGAACCAGGGATCAGTTCCATTGATTTACTTGATAGGATTAAACATTATTGTGAAAACACTTATCAAATACAACATGTAACCATACAAATTGAATAAAGAGTATGTTCTTTTTTGTTCAATTATTTTCACCTTATTATTCATCCGTGTGATGCTTTTTTAAATATTTTTAAAGGCCAAGACATAATTTTATTAAAGATTGGCATGAGTCATACCAATATGCAACCAGTATAACAAGATAAAAGCCTCATGACAGCAAACAGAAAGAAATCTAGCAGGTTACAACAGTACAAACCAGACCAATACCAAGATAAATGCGTGATATAAACACCTCTATTTAAAAGGACAAATTCAAAGTTGGATTACAGATCAAAACCTATTCTAATTAATTAAGTTCAGTCCCTCCACATTCAGATTCAATTGAAGACAGCAGTCTCTAAATTGAAAACTACCAAGTCTGCTAACTTTTTCCACAAAATTCTTTTCTTACTAGTTTCACAAAAGGGGGCATATACATTTACCATTGATGGTGGAATCCGCTCTATTCCCACAAACTATGTGATAGACCCTGGACACATGTGTATAAGAGTAGGGGCAGAAAAGAAAATAGGGAGGGAGATGTGATAGACCCTGGACACATGTGTATAAGAGTAGGGGCAGAAAAGAAAATAGGGAGGGAGATGTGATAGACCCTGGACACATGTGTATAAGAGTAGGGGCAGAAAAGAAAATAGGGAGGGAGGAGAAAAGGCACGTGGCACACAGTTGGGAAGGATGGAAGGAATGAGTAGTGAGGTTGTAGTGGAAATGGGAGGAAATAACTAACTGCTTAGGTGGCAATCAGAGATTGGGGGATGAGATTGAGGGAATTAGAGAGCACATGGTGCTGGAGGGAATAAAAGGAAGCCTCGCTAATGATGGGAGGCAGGCGGGTTTTGAGTTGGAATTGGGTGGCTGAATAGTGAGAGTTTCATGTTATCAGTAGGGATATTCTCATATGAGAATATTAGTATTTTCCATTTATCATCTTTTGTAAGGAGCCAATCTCCATCCATCCTAGTATTGTCTCATTTGTATGAAACTAGTCTATGTTGAGAATATAGCAAGTGTGAGTATGGGAAAATAGTCTCACATTGGATAGGAATGTGGTGACTTGAGCATTTATAAGTGGGAGAATTCACTCATCTATCACCTTAAGATTTTAGATGAACAAGTGGTGTATCTCTCACAAAAGTGTGTTGCTCAAACGTAAAGTTTCGAAAATAAAAATGCTCCTAACTCGACCCTCCCCCGATTATTGCGCTAACAAATGGTATCAGAGTTTCGGTTCGATGGGATTGGAAAACACTGTGTTTGTGAGATCGGAATTACTTGCACAAGGTTGAAGATGGCAGGAGGCGTTGTGTGATTGAGATGTGCGTGTTGTTTAGCGCTCAAGATGTTCTTGATCTCGTCAACGAAGATTATGTCCCAGTTGTAGCAGATGCGACAAAGGAACAGAGAAATGCGCAGAGAGATACAAGGAAGAAAGATCAGAAGGCGTTGTTCTTCATCCATTTGAGAAGTCTCTCAGAAAGCAGTATGAGAATCTCAACATGAAAAACAACTAGAAGGTTTCTAAGTACATCTCTAGTGTAGTTTTAATCACTAATGAGATGAAAGCTTGTGGAGAAACCCTTTTTGAACAAGTAATTATTGAAAAGATATTGAGGCGTTGTGTGATTGAGATGTGTGTGTTGTTTGGCGCTCAAGATGTTCTTGATCTCGTCAACGATGATTATGTCCCAGTTGTAGCAGATGCGATAAAGGAACAAAAAAATGCGCAGAGAGATACAAGGAAGAAAGATCAGAAGGCGTTGTTCTTCATCCATCAGTGTGTGGATGAGAACGTGTTTGAGAAAATTACTGAATCGACGACGGCGAAGGCTGCGTGGGACACACTGACTACAGTTACGGTGGTGACGCATCAGTGAAGAAGGTGAAGCTTCAGTCTCTCAAAAAGCAATATGAGAATCTCAACATGAAGGACAACGAGAAGGTTTCTAAGTACATCTCTAGAGTAACCTTGATCACTAATGAGATGAAAGCTTATAGAGAAATCCTTTTTGAAAAAGTAATTATTAAAAAGATATTGAGGTCTCTTACTCTTCAATTTGATTACATTGTTGTAGCAATTAAACATTTTAAAGATCTGAACACCATGAGAATAGAAAAGCTGCAAAGCAGTCTAGAGGCGCAAGAGTTGCGTTTGACTGGGAGAAATTCTGAAAGAGAAGTTGAGCAGGCTCTGAAGGTGTGATCGGTGGATCTGGAACTGACTGTTTAACGCTGGTTCGCGAAATGTCGCGGTAAGCAAGAGTCGCCACCGTCTTTTATTTTCTCCAAATGGAAAGGACAAAAGCACAGAAAAATTCCTTATAGAGATTGCTCTCGGTTCGGGAGGTAGATTATAGAAAGGGAAGGTGTTAGCACCCTTTCTATCCATGGTTATCCATGGGCTCTTAGATACTTGCTCACTTGTGTTTTCAAAAAGTTTGTTTGCTTTTCAACTGTGGGTTTTAAAAAAGTTTCTTTGAAAATTTCAGTTCGACTCTTGTATCGGTCCTCAAGAGTGTTTGAAAAATTGCTTTCGAAAGCTTTTGAAAAGGTGTCAGTGTGAAAAGTATTTTTTGAATTTGTTTTGAAATTAGAGCAAGTATCTAGAGTCGTCTACCTACCCTAAGGAATTCGTCTGTGTAGATGTCCTTAAAGTAGTGCCATCCCACCATTGAGAGGTAGGTAGCACCACCGTTGGAGGTGTTCGGGTCAATTCGAGGTTCGGGACATGGTGATCACCGGAGCAATGGGAAGACACCTTAGAAGCTACCCTCATGCCAGGTTCCCGGATCATGAGGACTTACTAAGACATCCTCTACTCGACGATCACCTTTCGAGGGCAAGGTAACAGTGAGGCGTACCCTAGGGGTGATGTGTGATTTGTGTGTCATTTTCATTTATTTTTGTCTTGTCATGTCATGGGTGATCTATGCGTTTGTTTTTATTTTGACATTCATTCTTGCATGCAATTATTACAGTTAAAAAGTTGCGAGAAATATAAAGTTCCTAAACTATTACAAAGACGCGGGTCCACATCGCCAAATTAAATCCAGGACCCGATTTGACATAAAATAAAGAAATAAGGTGCGAGAAATATAAAATGTCCGAGTTACATGGCTTTGGGAGAATTACATTAATATTTAAAAGAAAAAATAAAAATGCGAAGAGAATTAAATCGGGAATGCGAGGGCGTTGGACCCTTTTTAACGAAATTAAATTATTATGGACAAATTAATTAAAATAAACTAAAAAGAAATTATTTTGAAGGTTTTTTGTATTTATGAATTTTTAATGAGAATTAAATGAAATTAAGTAATTAACCCTAATTCTAGCTATTTTTAATTTATTAAGAAAATATGAAAATTAAACCTAAAATTAAACCTAATTAATTAATGCAATTTGATTTATAAAAATAAATAATTAATTATTAGTGAGGAGAAAATAAAAGAAAAAGTAATTAAAATAATTAAAACCTAATTCTACAAATTTTAAGTTTATTGAAAAATGTCAAAATTAAGTTTAAGAATAAAACTAATTAATTTACAAAAATAAGTTTAAATGAAATATATTTTATTTTTATGACTTTCTGATTTTTATTATTTTTATGTTTTATGAAAATAAATTAATTTAAAGAATTAAAAAAGAAATAATTGAAACAAATAAAATAAAAAAAGAAAAGAATTGCAAAACCTTAGGGGGTTCTGTCCCCAATTGGGAGGTATAATTTAGCATTTTTGGCCCATCTTTGGAGGCCTTTTGTTGACTTTCCAGGGTAGCATGTGCGTGCATTGACTGAGGCCTAGGATGTTCATCAAACATGGGCCTTTGGATTGCCCTCAGTGGCCATGTGGCGCATTGAGATTGTGGGCGTATGATGGTCATCAGGGAGCAAGCTGCGCAAGAATATGATTAGAAGAAAAATATGGAATAAGAAAGGGGGACCTGGGATTCGAACCCAGGTCCCAGAGATTACCATACTGATGCCTTGCCACTGGAGCTCTTAACGCGCTTTGAATATTGTATAGAGAACAAATAATATAATGTAAATTATGAGTTAGTGGACATTTTCGCGCGAAATTTGAATACACCAACCATCGCCTTACACATCACCATCTTCTCCACTGGCCCTGCATTTTATCTGAAAAAAAACAAATTGAATAGCGGGGGTTTTAAACCCCCACTAAGTAACAAGTACAAAAATAGCGATTAGCAACCCTTTGATCATAAATTAGGCGCGACCCCATCATTGAGTTCGTCTGAAGGCCCTGATTTTAATGGTCTGGGTCTTGTGTTCCAATTTTTCCATAACTGAGAAACCCCAATTCAAGGTTTTTAAAACCCTAACAATCTTCCATGGTGAATTCTCCTATAGTGCACGAAAACTCAATTGATGTATATGGTTAGCTTTAGAATGATCCAATTAGCATAAATCAACATAAAAAACATATGAAAAATGCATAGAATTCATGATACGATTATGAGTATTTTCGTGAAAAGTATGACTTTGATATACCAATTCCTTGAGTATGGGACAATGTTCTTGATTGGAATAGTCTCCTCGTGGCCTTGGCAAGCTAGTGGAATGGTTATATGGCCTTGAAACGCCTTGGAATGGTGTTTTCAGTTTTGAATTTTTTTACAAAAAAGTGCAACTTTGTTCTTCTTTTCTGGCGCAGCTTGGAGGTTCTTCACACTAGGGTTTGCATCCTGCTTATGTATGGAATGATTAGGGGTGAGTTTTTGGTCCAAAGAATCAAAGCATTGATGTAGAGAATATTTGATTTTCATGGCATAGTTTTTCAATCTTTTTCATGCATATTTGATTCCAATCATGGCAAATCACATTGATTCTTTCCCTATCTAATAATGCACGAAATCCTTAAGTTATTCCATGCATAAAAAGATTTGAAAACTTTGGTTTAGTATTTTCCACATATTTTAATTAATTAAATGAATTTTTGGCAATTAAAAATTCAAATAAATAAATAAAAATGATGAATAAA